GACATGTTTATTTAAATCCGCGGGGGATATTTAAATCCCCTGCGGATTTCCCTATGCTGACTTACCTGATTTGCATCCCTTTTCCGGAATTTGTGGCCAGTCTAGACGTAGCCATATATCCTGGAGATTTTGCTTCAGCGTTAATTCAGCCAGGATACATTTATTCCCTCACTAGCGAAAGTTACCCAGCATTGCTCAGGAAAGTGGAGGAACAAAATTTAGAAAAACTGTAGTCCTCTATCGTTTTTTGAATGGTAGAAAAGTTGTACTGAGTTCTATAGGGATTAAAAAATATTTTAAAAAAGTATAAAACAACCAATTTTACATGTTATCAAAAACTTTATTGTAAACTATATTTTTTGTTTCATTATTCTTAACAAATATGTACAAATGTTTTCCACTTCCAACTCTTGAACACACAACATAGAGTTGTCTATGTGAAAAGCAAGATGTCTCCAAATCAATTTCAACTACTTTAAGTGACTGCACTTTGTCAGTATACATTGTTGAAATATAAGTTGACAGTTGATATAACCGAGGTGAGGAGCCTGAGGGGAGGGAGGGGGAAGGGAGCCAGCCTTAGTGAGTGACTGCCCTCACCGCTTCCCCCGGGAAGCCGCTCCTCCCTGCACTGCCAATCTCCGTGCAGCCCAGAGGAGAGGCGTCAGTCTCTCATCTCTTCCCTCCCACAGTACCTTAAAACCTTCTCCTGGATAAAAAGTTATCCCATGCAAAGTTTGGTTACGGTAGCTCTTATAGTGTCCAAGTTATTAGCGCACAAACATACAAACATTCTCCTTTATATATTAGATTATCAGGAACTAACTCCAATGAGAACGTAAAGAGTGAAATATGCTGGAGGGGGGGTTATCAACAGTGTAATGCTGACAATCCTCTCAGAACTTGATTCTTTCTGTGAAAGCCAGATATTACCAGGAGTATAAAAATAATAGGTATTGTTTAGCTAGTGGAAAAACATATTATGTATGACAATCAATTGATATATTGAGACAGACTAAGCAAAGGGCCCCAATTTCCAAATGAAGGCCTGCATGGGAAGGATGGGGTAAAATTTTAACAAGGCCTCTGTACTGCTAAAGAAAGATGCAAGCCATTTACAGTTTAAGTCAAATGGCATGTAAAATAGGCCTTTGAATTGGTAATTAAAAAAAACAAAAACAAGGTGACTTGCCTGCCATAGATTACAGAATATTAAAGGTGAAAGCGGCAGAAACCACCCCCTGCTGGTGTCATTTTTTTAAATGGTAGGATTTACTGAGCCTAAGAAAATGATGTGGGAACCAAAAAACAAAGGGCCCACGTCCCTGGGGTTGTGAACTGAAAGACTGAAGCCAAGTTTACGTCTCCACCTGTTTGGGAGGCAGTCAGGACTTTATGCCAGACCCAATCTTGCTCTGTCATTATGTGCTGCTTGCACCTTGCTAGATCTGGGCCTAAGTGAGGAATTGGCAGCAGGGAAAGGTGAGGCATAGTGGGAGGCCAAGCTAGGAGGGGAAAAGGACTGACTGGCCAAGGAAAAGAAGAACCTGTTTGCACTGTCCTTTAGATAAGTCAGCCCAGTAGCTAGAAATGCTCTCCTTTTTCCTGCCTGAGTGACACCTAATGGTTCTAAACAATACTTAGGAACTGAGCAATTTCCAAAGCCTTAAAAACATAGGGCCACTGGTGTAAATCAGTGTTGCTCCTCTGAAGCCAATGGAGTAATGCACATTTACACAAGCTGAGTACCTGGCTATGAAGATTGTAATTATTTGTATCGTGTCAGCACCTAGGACCAGGACCCTAGGTACTGTATATAAAAAAGTCTGGCCTAAAGACCTTACAGGCAAATCAGTTTAACCAGTACCACAAAGCCAGGACCACAGAGAGGAGGAGGAGAATGACTCAGAAAATGGTTTCACATCTTAACTTCCCCTGTTCACTGTGGTTCGTGTGAGATGGATGTTTCAGTGAGAGCCCTCTCCCTCCACTCACCATATGGCTACCAGGTAAGCCAGACTCTTGTGATTAATAATAATGCCTGTTTCTTATGCACTGCTTTTTGCCTGGAGATGTCAAAGCCTTCACCACCTGTTGTAATGCATGTATTCTCACCCTGCCCTGCAGGGGTAGGACAGTGCTCTTATCCCCATTTCACAGATGGGGGACTAAGACACCGAGCAACTAAGTAACTTTTCCCTGGTCGCATAGGAAATCCAGGAGACAACAGGGAAAGGAATGCAGGTTTCCTGGGTCTTAAGCCAGAACCCTACGGATTGCATCAGTCTTCCCCTTATTGCATCGCTTGCTCTATAAAAATAATGGCACAGGTGCCAGCATTTGAAGGTTTCCAGGGACAATTCCCCAACCTGAGATTGGGTTGCTGCTTGACTTGCTCTTTCGTCTTCTCCTGCAGCAGCCTCACCATTTTGGAAACATGCTGAGAAGTTCAACAATTTATCTAAATGTATAGTGCCCTCACCCTGGGATTTTCCATTCATTCCAGTATATTCGCTTGAGTAATGGCTGTGCATGACATTCCTATCGGCCTGAGCCATCATGCTAGTTGTTCATGCTACAGCTTGTTTTCCCAGATCCCACACAATCAGAAGAAGGGCCGTTATCGTTACCCCCCTGAACTGGCTGGGTTTTTTTTTAAATGCCCAGCTTTCACATGATTCTATAGTAAATATTTATACGGAAGCCACCTGAAAACAGGCAGAGCTGGAAAAAAGAGACAAGGGCTTTTTTTGGTTGTCTGATTGTGCTGATGCTGTCTTTATTGTGGTGTGGTAGCTGGTTCATTACACTGATTCTTATGTTCACTTCTCAGATGTACCTCCCTGCATGGCTGGGAATGCGGAGGGCAGGCACAAGGAGAGGCATATTTGCTGAACTGTTTTTGAAACTAACTACAGCTAAGATAAGCAATTTTTTTCCATTTGGATCTGACAAAACCAGACTGTTTATTGCAGGAAGGAAACAGAAGCAACAACAAAAATAGATGGCCAATGTTTCTCACTTGGACTGGACTCTAATCCCTTATAAGGCTACACCAGATCCATGTCAGTAATGACAAGTGAAATATACTGCAGCTAAGTAAATCTAGCCAATCAACTTCTCAGTTATGCTGGCAAAAGCATTTACCAAAGCATTTTCAAGTGAATAAAGACTCCTTTCTTTACTGGCTATGTAGCTTACTGTATGCTTCTATGAAGCCTTGCATGTTTATATTAAAAAACACACCATGATCTTTGGCAAAGGCTGTGGCAGTAGGTTAGTTATGCATTTCAATTTGTTACTGTAAGTACAATGGAAAGCCAGTGGACTTTACATCATTGCTAAGGAATGTAAAGATATATTTCAATACCCATTCTTTCAAAAACCCCAAACAAGTTGCTACGTCTAGACTGGCATGATTTTCTGCAAATGCTTTTAATGGAAAAGTTTTTCTGTTAAAATCATTTGCGGAAAAGAGCGTCTAGATTGGCATGGACGCTTTTGCGCAAAAGCACTTCTTGCGGAAAAGCGTCCATGCCAATTTAGATGCAGTTTTGCGCAAGAAAGTCCCAATAGCCATTTTCACCATTGGGGCTTTTTTGCGCAAAACAATTTTTAGCTGTCTACACTGGCCCTCTTGCGCAAATACATTTGCGCAAGAGGGCTTTTTCCTGAACGGGAGCAGCATAGTATTTGCGGAAGAACTTGCCAGTCTAGATGCAGCTGATAAGTTGGAAGCACAAGCATCTTCGTCCTCATCTCAAATAAGCAGGGGTGATGTCTAAATTCTGCCACATACTTTCCATGTGCAGAATGACTTATGTGATACATCACCTCTATATTGGTGCACATAATGAAAGTCAGTTCTGCCTGTCCACAGACAAGCAAGATTAGAGCAGTTTCTTGTCCCCAGGTGCTAAGTTTCTTCTTGTTTCCCTTCTCCAGGTGATAAGCTGGGTGTTAACTTATCACAGTGTCACCATATCAGCTTTAGTTCCCTCTGTGTTGGTCTTTGGCTGCTTGGTCATGCCTAATTATCAGAGCAGGAGTCAGCCTCTGTGGTGAGAGCAGTGGTTCTCAAAGTGCAGCTCGTGGACCACTAGTGGTCTGCAGTTGCCTTGCAGATCGGCCGTGGCTTGAGGCTCAGCCTCCTGGCCCCTACAGCAGGAAAGCCCATGCTGGGGCTCCAGCCACGCTTTCCCCCCTGAAAGTTTGGAGCGCCAGCACCAGCTTCCTGCTGCATGTGTGGGAGCCCTGAGCCTCGCAGGCTGGATCTGGTCTGCAAAGGGAGCAAGCAGCTCCACGTGCTTCCGTTCCTCCTTCCCCCCCATCTGGGGAAATGACAGCGCAGGGAAGGGCTGCCTGGAGCTTTCCCCACTGCTTCCATTGGCCAGAATCACAGCCAATGGGAGCAGTGGGAGGCTGTGCTTGGGATGCAGAACCATCCCCATCCTCTCCTTGCCCAGATCCCGGACCCCCATCTCCCGGATCCCCATCTCCCTCACACTTCTTCTCTGATGAGATCTCACACTCCTATGCCACTTCTGCACCTCCCTCCCACCCAGACCCTCTACCCTCAGCCTGCTCCCGCACCTACTGAGGCTGACAGCAAGAGGCAGGATGTGGTGGAGTGGGGGCAAAGCAGGAGTCTGAAAAGGTGAGGCATAGGTGGGGCCTTGGGTAGAGCAGGGGTTGAGCACCCTTTGCAATATAGAAGAGAGTAATTATGTAGCAGAGCAGAAGCCTGCCAAATGTATGTCACCCTTATGCAACAAATGCATTTGAATTTATTTTTTTGAACAAGTCTTCTGAATTATGACTGTATTTTTCAGACACAGATATAAATATATATGTTCAACCAATCACTTCTGTTTTTTAATCCTGTCAAGCAAAAGGTGCTGAAGGAAAAAGAACCTAGTAGCATTTCCCTGGAGCAAATAAGACAGACCAGCTCTTTGTAAAGGAGTAAGGTTAGTAAACTAAAACTTCAACTAATTGTGTGTTGAACTATATCCTTACAGTACAAGACAGGCTCTTCTTTTAGCTTTAGACGTAAACAAAGACCGAATTTTCATGCAAAACTGTGCCCTGCTGATTCCTGTATTTTTGCTGCCGAGGATGTGTTTACTTTACTTTGTGACTTACCCCTTTAAGCTTATGTTTAGTTTGAGATGCAGAAAAAGAGAGGCGATTGTGTAAGAATCTTATTTTGGTTAGAAAGGGGCTTTAGGGGCACGTCTACACAGCAATTAAACACCAGTGACTGGCCCACGCCAGCGGGCTTTCTCTTGTGAGGCTCAGGCTGTGGGGCTGTTTAAATTGCTGTATAGACTTCCAGGGTCAGGCTGGACGCTAAGTTTTAGGAACCTGTTATGTGGGAAGGCCCCAGATCTTGGGCTACAGCCTGAACCACTACACTGCAATAAAACAGCCCCCAGGTTGAGTCAGCTGGCAAAAGGTAGTCACAGCTGTGCTATGTAAATGTAGCCTAATAGTCTATCCTCTTGCAGGATTGATCTTATGCAAATCATCCTTCCTGGATAGGTATCTAGTGTAACCTCGAGCATCTCAAATGACTACAGCTCTTTTTCCAAACATACTATAGTTCTACTGACCTTCTCTTCTCAACTTATTACCCCATACAGAGCTTTGATCTACTACATCTCTGTCTTCTAGACTGAGAATTGTATCATCTCCTCATGAAGCTTTGTAACCTCTCTATCATCTGCACACTAGACTCACTATGTCCAGTTCTAAGATCTTATTGAAACAGCACTATTGTTGCTCTCCTCTGAACTCTTTGTGACCAATGTGATCAAACAAGACCTAAACAAGGTCTTGAACTTCAGTTTACCTTCCACACTCATTTTACATCAGATACTGCCTTTTTGTGAGAGCCTAGTAACACGGCTGACTCATCCATTATAAGATCTGCTAAAACCACCAGCTGTGACAATACTTTCTAGAAAATAACCCTTCAAAGGATATCAACAGCCAAGACGCATATTCTTGCAACACATATCTGTGATGTACTTCATGATATACAATCACTTCCCACTCCTTCATTGCTGGGATTTGAAGAGGGATTTGGTAGGAACAACCTCACTAGTTTGCATTTTAAATACCCATTTTAGTACTTCATCAAAAAAATGTCTTTTCACAGACATAAGATACTGGAGCCCAATTCTCCTCTCAGTTACACTGGTATAAATCAGGAGCAACTGTACTCAAACCAACACCGGAGGTTCATCAGAGCACAGATTCTCTGCACTCTACTTCCCGCAAAACTCAACTCACTCCTCATTTCTACTATTTCACTCTTCCACTGGAATTCACTTTCCTCTGCTAATGCTTCTAGGGTGTTAATTTAGGTGCTGAAAGCACCATCAATTCAAAATCCAAATTCTCACTGACTTTAGTCAATGCGAAGATGGCATCAAGGCCAAATACCCTTGTGAAAATTTTGAGGCATGTGAGCCCCCAAGTTGTTATATGACTTGCTCCTCTACAGGAACTTCAGCTAGTACCAGGTCACCAAACACCTACATGCCTATAATCATGAGAGACACTAAGATTTCATTTGCATTATTACTTGTTATGTGCCAATGCTGTGCTTCTCTGTTATGTGAACTGCCATTTTTCTCGTGTTCACTTTAGTCACAGCTTACAGATTTCTTAGTTAAATTCTATAGTCAAAAAGATACTTGCTGAACTATGAATACAGAATTTTACATAGGTCCATTGCTTAACAGTCTGAACATGTTTGTAAATGGCCACCTATGTCAAATGGCTACATAAATAATATTTACGCAATGTTCAGTCATTGTGGTATCTAGGCAAGAACAAAATAGCATTCCAACATACAATACAAATAAATGGAATGAATAGCAATAAGAAATGGAATAAAATAAGAGACTAAATAGGAATATAAATGCAAAAATAATATAGAAAAGTGTGTGTAGACAGGCTTTTTATTTTTAAAAATATTTCTTAATTTCATGAAATATATGTAAAGTACAGCACAGGTACGATATCAAGTCAGTTTACAGGTAACATGCCAATTATTTACATGTGATATATGTACAGAGTGCAGATAACTGAAATCCCACTACAAAATAAACAAAAAGTTCAATATGATAATTTACTACTAGTAACTTTTTAAATATATTTTACTTTCTCATGTTATTGATTGCATATAAATTCCTGGTATTAAAACACAGTATAATATCTAAGAATTCTATAAACTCTAGTATCATCAAAATAATCATCATAAATATCTTTCAGAATTGAAATAATAAATGTATGATCTGCCAAACGACCTTTACATTTGCTGCAGTCCAAACCCTCAGAAGGCTGGGAGCAAATCCTGACCACCAGTGCCAGAATATTAATGCTGATTCCCAGCATTACCTTTACAAGAAGCTCAGATACACAAGGACTTTAAAATAAAGTATCCAAAGAGGAAATCACCATTTAAAGCAACAAAGACACTCAAATAACCCATGATATGATGCCACGTACAGAACAACAAATACTATATTATGATCTTTAATGGCTGAAATACAGAGGATCCAACATATTTTGATTATCCTGGTTAATAGTTTGGTCAACAGTCTCAAGCCATGTCTTCACTGAGTGGAAGATCGATGCTGCCACGATCGATATTCTGGAGTCTGATTTAGCAAGTCTAGTTAAGACACACTATTTCAGACTCAGAGGATGCTTCCATCAGTGGCTGGTGGCAAAAGCTCCCATCGGCCTCCCACAGTGGGGATGGCAGGGAAACTTGAATTACAGGACATCAACTCCAGCTACGTAATTAACGTAGCTGGAGTTGTCTGTCTTGATTCGACTTTCCCCTTTAGTGTAGGCCCATCCTCAGTTTTGCATAAGCAATACCGAGAGGGGTGTTACAGCAACAATCACTAGAGCTGTGTGGTCTGGAGGAAAATGACAATGCCCTGTGTTTGATCCCTGATGGGTGGGGTGATTTACAAGGGGATCCTTTACTAGAGAAAACAAATGTTAGAAACTTTAAAGATAATATTGGGCTATATCAAACCTTCTCCTTTTAGGCAGAACACCTATTGATTTCAATGGACACTTCCTTTAAATACTGAGGGGCAGATCTTCAGCTGGTGTAAATTGTCAGCCCTTCATGTTTATGTCAGTGGAATGATGACAATTCACACCAGCCGAGGATTTGCCTTATGATTATATGATAAGGTCTTTGATTAGGAGAGTCGTCTTCTTGTCCCTTACCCAATAAGTGCTTGAATTGGTTTTTAACACAAGAAACATTCAGATTAACGTGTTTTTTTAATATCACTATTTATTCTGATGCAATATTACTAAATAGAAAGTAAAACAGGCCCCAGTGCACAAGTATACAAATTATTCCTGTGTTATAATGCTTTTTTGCTGTTGAATTACTCACTCTGTTCTGCACGCTTAAATTTTACTCTCACCCCTGCTAAGATTACTTTCCTAAAGGAAATCAAAACAAAACCCTGATTCCAATTACAGACAATAAATAGGGAGTTTGAAGGGAAAATAAAAGGAATGACGTGTTACTTATTACTACCAAGAATTAGCTCGTGAGTAATTCTCTGTATAATTTTCTCCAGAAATAATTCAACAATGCACTTGTGGGTTAGTTACATTATTATAAACAGCACCTGGGAGAATAGAAAAATTTATCAGGGCCCAAAACTATCATTTAATTTAAAAGCCATCTCACATAGTATTCAAAACTCCAAAATGTGGCAAGAACATTTTAATGCTGAACTTGTAGAAATGATCATGAAAACTAATTTTTCATTCTGACCAACTTTAATAAAAAGTTTGGCTATAGAATACTTTACAGATTTATCATAAACTATAAACAACCTTTCAACAAATTTATTTGTGCATGTTTGATTGCGATAAGTAACAAACGGTTTAACAAAGAAATACACACAAATAATTAAACTGTATACACAGACACGGTTTTCACAAGTCACTAACATCATTTTGAATATGCTAGCAAATGTGATTCTTACCCAGATACATTTGCAAACTGTGGTATGCTTGAGAAAATTGCTACATCTTTTCTAGCGGGATAATACAGAAGGCTTACCATAAGCCTGTAGTGCTTGTAGACTGAATCCAGGGCTGATCTTAAAAAAATAATACAGGGATCCACTCAATCAATATTTTAATTGACTAATTTCCTGATAGAGCAGCCTTCACACACTGTCTTTAAAAATCCTTAAAACAAACAAAAGACAAAAAGGAAAAAAAATAATACAAATCATTTAAAGAACCCAAGCCCCAAAACACCTGGAAAGGTTTTCTGCTCTGGGAAGCAGTGGGCGTACCACTACCAAAAAGCTCAGGTCCAACACTCTCTCCTGCATTCATGTGTCCCTAGGTACATGGCTCCTGATGTCTCTTCAGTGCCAGTTTTGCTACTTTGGCTACTGGTGAGTACCTTCTTGCAACGCTTGAAGCTGGATGTGCACCATCAGCACAACAGAGAAACTGACTGCACTGGAAGTGCTCACTCAATGCACCATGTAATAGAGAGAGGAATAAAAAATTAACAAATATCTTTCATCTCTTTCAGCTCAGGTAATGTGAGAGTCACTTGTAGCAAACCACAGGAATCACATTTTCAGATGGAAATGTGAATTAAAAGGAGGCATTGTCCCTTTAAAATTATATGCAGGATGCAGAGTGGCTGATTGACAGATTCCGTATGTACCCCATCCATGCACTACTGAGGAAAAGAAGGAAAATGCTCACACAGTATATAGGCTTAAGTTAAAAAAAAAAAAAAAAAAAAAAGCAGCACTGATCTTCCTCTTCAGAGTTCCAAGACTGTAACTCACCCAAAGGGCTCTAAGGAATTGTTCGACTCCACGGGATTCACAAAAAGAGCCAGACTGTGATTGCCCTGATGGAGAAATCAGGGTGGGGGAAGGATAACTCAAATAAGCGTTTTGCCCCCGCCCACTGCACCCCTGTGCAGAGGCCAGATAGTATGTCTCAGGATACTACTTCACAGTAGGGTCACTGATAGTTCTAGGCTTCTGAGCAGGGTCTTGCCTCTTTCTGCACTCACTACCACCAGGAGTACAGATAGCGCCTCTCCTTGGATTGTTGTGAGGAGGCAAAAGCTTTGTTACCCCACCATCTTAGGATGGAGCCGTCAAGCACAGCCCAAACATCGGCAACCAACAATATGTTAACGCAGCACGAGATAAGAGAAGTTAAAATCGCAGAATTAATTACATAGCTCTTGACTCAGAGGAAGTGCCCATTGAAGTCAACATGAGTTTTATCAAATTTAAGAACTCCAAGCTTTGAGCAGCTGAGGAGCCTCCTTCCTATTTTACTTCGTCTCTATTGGATATTTGTCTTGACAATTCAAGAGGACCAGCTTTGGAATTATCCATCACAATGTACCGAGGGAATGCTCTTCATGACACACGGGGGGGGGGGGGAGAGGTATCACCTACTGATAGTGAACAAGGAGAGTATGAAGCTGTTGATAGTGAAGTAGAATTAAGAGCCCAAATTATTGTGAGTCACTTAATTATGCAGTCATGGATCTCATGGTCTATCCTCCAGTACCTGGTTCCAATCTGCCTCTTACTAGCTTACTTGAAACTGGTGAGAAGCCTCTATCTGTGTCATACAAAGGATTCCAAGAGTCTTCCAGCTGAGCTCCATCTGGTGCCCTCATTACCGCAGAGATGGCTCTTGCCACCAGCCTAAATTTCAGCACTAAAATTACTTTGAAGAAATGACTCATTATTAGCAACTCCCACTGCGTTGTCCAGCAGGCTGATTCAGAAGCTGAGAGAAGTACACTACTTTTGAAAGATGGCATATATTGGCTATACTTAGCCTACTAAGACCACCAAGGAAAGTATCAGAAAATTTGGCAGTGATAAATAGGTTTGTAAAGTTTTCAGCCTTGGGAAAAACTCTTATTTAACTCACTGGAAAGCGGTGCCCACTGTTTCAGTAAATAAAGGTTTAATATATTTAGCAGAGCTGGTAGGAAAAATGCTCAGAAAAACGTGTTGCTGGAATATGCGGCTTTGTCAAAATCAAATTGTTACATAGAGAGAGTTTCATTTCAACAAAAGTCTGACGGAACCTTGCCTGGTGGGCTTCCAAGGGCTGCAGCGCCAGGACAGCACGGCAGGTGTTGTGCCTCAGAGCTGAGGACCCCTGGGCTTCCAGGGTCTGTAGCTCTGGGACAGCCCATGAGGCAGTGCGCGCTGGAGGAGAGTGCCATACCATTTTGCAGAAAATGTCAAAGTTTGGGGTTTTCTTTCTGAATCAGAACAAAACCAAATTTAGAAATATCTAAATCTGTGGCACAATGGAATTTCCTTGTCTTGCCCACCTATAATTTTAATACTGTTGCTGGAGAAACAGCTAACAAGCAAAAGAGTTTGTGTGCGAGGCAATTCTTCCCATAGCATTAACACAGGCCAGCCAATGGAGAGCTGGGGGAGTGCAGCGCGGAGGACAAAGAGGACAGTTGCCCCAGGAGCACAGCAATTCAAAAGGGCCCCAGCCACCATAGAGCGGTGTGGCTGGAGCTTTGGACCCTTTACATTGCCACCAGAGGGCCTCGCAGCATGCTCCAGGTGACTCTTTGGGCCACCTGGGAAAGTGGGGGAAGGGTGCGCTGCCTTCCAGTCAGCACTGGCTGCCCTCAGCCCTGCCCCTTCTGGGAGTGTGGAGCCAGCCTCCCCTCCACTTTGCCCAGGAGCCCAGCAAGTCTGTTCCCTTCCCCGTCCCCCCGGCACTAACAGCACTGAGCTCTGCTGGCAAGGTTTGAATGTGGTGCTGAAATGGTTTTGCTTTGAATCATACATGATGACTAGCCATGCAGTTACTGCAATTTTACTGGAGCAATTCAGTAAAGAGCTACACCCTGATTGAGTGCGTTGCTTAAGCACATGTGAGATTCTGTTGACATCAGTGTAGAATTTTGAGGCCACTATGTATTGACTCTCAAGAATGGATTCACCAGGTTAGCAGCTCTGTTGATTAACTAACTTGGGATGTCCAAATTCAAGGGGAGTTTTGCCAATAAAGCCTTCAGGCCTGGGCCTTTGGTAGTTCTTTAAGCAAGCCCAGTGTTTACCTTGGACATATACTCACTGTTTACTTGGTTTCTGATATTTGTATTTTGTTCTCTCTGTAAAGGATTGTTATTCCATTATAAAGTGCCAGTGCCCTCACTGTTTATTACAGTCTTTTATCAATACAAGCCACTGAACTTTGATGGGAAAACTTACACAGAATTTAATGCCAGTAGTTACAAAATGACTGCATTTTAGTTGCAGCTGTTATTTGTAAATATCTACACCAAGCAGTTTTATTATCATGTTTTGGAATGGATGTCAAATTGTTCAATGAAATTCTAAGGAAACGATATTTCAAAAATTACCAAAATAATTACATTTTGTCTACTTCGGGTATTTTTTTATAGCTAAAAGGCGCCTTTAGAATTCATAGCTTATAAAACTAGGTACTTCACAGATAATTTATCTTGCAGCAGTGGAAAATCTGAAAAACAATTAGATGTCTGATGGCACTGTGTGACTCTGCTGGGTTTTTTTCAGGTTTTTAGATATCTTTTCATTCTTTGTTGCTAACTTCACATATTTTCCCATCATTTTAGTTTCAGGATTTCTTTTGTTTGTTATGGTCGTTTTTGTGAGACAAGCTGAGAATCCCTTAGAAAAGATGGGTGCTAGAAATATAATTTATTATTAATATTAATTATATTGATAAAACAAACTGATGAAATATATGAGGAAATAAAATAAAGCTGTACAATATGTGAATTAAAAGTTGATTTTAAAAATATCACATTTTAAAAGAGAACTTCTTGCTTAAACAGTGTACAACCTAATTTGGTTATCAATTATATAAATTACATACATTACTGCATCTGTATATTGTGATCTCATTGCATAACAAGAGGTTCAAAACTTTGCTTCATGGCAGATTAACTTCTTCCTTGAAATGACTGGGACCAGTCTCACAATCAAGTTTTCTAATCCAGAAGACAGCTCATAGAAATATATTTTGCTTTATGAACTAATATATAATTTTTACATGTAAAACAATATAATTGTAAGCATTGTCAGAGTGCATTGCTGTAAATTTCACACCAGTTGAGCAATATCTCAGGTGTCATATGTTTAACAACTAATTTTCTGATTTTATTGCTCAAATGTTCCTTAACTGTAAAAGAAGTATGCAACATGCTTGTGTTATAAACAATGGAAATTATTTAAACAGAGTACCATCTGCAGTACAAAAAACTGTGAACTATTTCATTACATCCTGTTCCATTTATAGGGAGCTACCTAATTTGCCCTTACAGAATTTGAAGAAAAACTAACATTCTCTGCTAGTGGGCTGATCCCCATATCTGTGTCAGATAAAATCATAGTGCTTATTATTTGTTACCATGGATACCATGAAGATACTGCTGTCCACTAAAGATTACTAGAGGAAGACAACGTAATTCTCAGGAACGAGTCCTGTTTTGCCTTCATAAGTTGCTTTTAACCAGCCTGGTTCCACTGATGGGTACACTGCAAAAAATTATATATAAAATATATACATTAAATTTGTTTTAGTTAAATTTAACTCTTATCCTATATAATTACATTGTCTGATTTTAAAAGAGCAATACCGTTATAAAAGAACAGCATAAGATTGATGGAGATGTAAAATCTTAAATTGAAGTGAAAATCTCTTGACTTCATCTCAAAGATGCAGTTACATTTAAATATTGTGTATAAAGGTAGACACTCTACTACAGCTTACCATTTGAAAATATTGCCCCCTGTGGGAAGGAGAGCTCATGACTGTGCTCAGCTTTACAGGAATACATGGCTTTGGCTTGTCTGAAAGAGATAAACAAGAAAAGGGGGAAGAAAATGTATTTACAAATCTGAGAAGCAGTCTGATGAGCACTGAGCTAGGAACCAGGAAACCTTGACAAAGTTCTAGAGAAAATGCAGGAATCCATTCTAAATTAACTTCAGATTTGCACATGATGTTCTGTAAGCCCTTGGGCAAGTCATTTATCTTCTTTGTACTTCATTTTCCCTAGCTTTAAGTATAGATATAGAAATTTACAGGCACCATACCACCACACTGAGGTTAGGCGAGGATACATTTGTTCAAGGAATATATTAAGTAAAAGTATTGCAGTTGTAATGCAACTGGAGATTATCAGTACCAATTTCTTCCCAATCAGGATGTTAATCTGATCTAATATACCATCTATGGTAGATTTTAATTTTTCAGCATATTATTTTATGTATAGTACATAACTCTCCCTGACTTCCCTCCTATGAAATAAAATTAGTGAACTCAACCTATTACATTAAGATGGACAAAATTTGCACACTAAGGACCTCTCCACTTTACCCTGTGTGCTAGTGCTGCCATGAAGAATGATGAAGAAGGTTGGTTCAGTCATTCCCTTTCCTTCTCCACACCCACTTTTGGAGCTCCATTCCATACACTCCTGTAGGCATTAAGCGGGAATGGAACCGCCCCACCCCAATGGGGTTCCAAATAAAATACAATGTATGGGTGGTAGTTGCTGATATTATGGTGGAAATCTGAGCGTTTAAGCAGTCTGTCTAGAGCATCGGTTCCCCAATTGGTGGGCATGAAGAAATTCCAAGGGGGGCACGAGGCGACCCAGCCCCCCGTCATTCCACCCCACCCTAAGAAAGAGTCCGCATTGGTGCTACCTCCTGCAAAAATGGAGGTAGCACCGGCTTCCTGCGGCATGGGCGGAGGGGGGAGGGAGGGAAAGTCCCGCAGCTGCACACCAGGTCCAGGTCTCACGAAGAACATGAGCTGCTTTCCCCCTCCCCAAACAGCTGGCGCGTTTCCTGAAATGCCGGGTCTATTATGCCGCCAGGGATTTCCTTCCCCCTGTTTCCTGCCTGCGTGGGGGGAGGGGTGGAGGGCGTAGGAGTCCTGGGACTGTACCAGCTCCAACTGCTCAGGCAGCACACACTTTTTGTTCCACTATTTCTTATGTTAAATTACATTTATATTAAATTTTTGTGCCAAGAAAAACTATTTGTGTTTATTTTTAATTTTAAATAAAAATGTTTATACCAAGATTTTGTGTTTATTTTTAATTTGAAATTACGAATTGAATTTGTATTAAAAGTGGGGGTTGGATGATGGTAAAGAGGAGGTGGGCAGGCGTGAGCATTTCTCAAAAATCAAAAAGGGAATGTGATGCTGAAAAGGTTGGAAACCACTGGTCTAGAGGATTCATGTATTATCAATGTGCCTTAGATACAACATTGGTTTCACAGTGCATTTGTCCAGAAATTCTTCTTCAAGGTGGTTCATGAAGAGGTTGGCATATTTGGGAGACATTTTAGTACCCATGGCTGTTTCCATGGTTTGGGCAAAGTGCTCGTTGTTGAATGTAAAAATGTTACAGGTGAGGATGAAATGGATTAGTCTGACAATGTGTTCATGGGGAACAACTGAGGATTATCCACTGTCTTGTAAACATTTGAGGTAGGAAACTATCATGTCATTGTGAGGGACATTGGTGCATAGTGAAGTGACATCCATGGTAGTGAGGCTGATGTACTGAGGGAGGATGCTAATCTCACGGAGTTTATGGAGGAAGTTGGTTGGGTCTTGGAGGTTATGTCTTGGCCCTTTGTCTGGTGAGTGGTTTGAGGATGGTTTCTGTGAGCCCTGATGTTAGTTTATGGTACTCTTGCTCTCAGGAACACTCCTACACTAGCAAGAACTTTCTAAAAACCATAATCAGCTCCAGTAATGGAGGCTTATAGACAACTGTGTATCAGAAATCCATTGATCATCACATGGACTTTCACAGACCCAGAAATTACCCCAAACAAACCAAGAAATCTGTTATCTACAGCCATGCAATCAGATACCACAGAACATGCTGAGGAGAAAGTCTGAGATATTCATTAATGCAGGGTTTTTCAAACTTTGTGATACTACGACCCCCATAAATGCTAAATTAATTTGTGTGATCCCTCCCCACCCTCACTGCCCTGGGTTGCTTCCTCCCCCCTTCTCACCAGACTCCTTGCCCTCCTGGGGTTCCTTGAAGGCATTTGCAGTCCTCAACGCCCTTGCCCCCTGCAGGTCCCTTCCCCCCCGTCTCTTTCTTCTCTATGCCTCTTTTCCGCTCCGCATCCCTCTGGTTCCTCTTTTCTCCTCTCCGGTGTCTCCTCTGCCTCCTCTTCTGACCCCCACATGCCCTTAGGGTACATCTACACTAGCTCATTAGTTCATAGGGTAACGGTAGTTCAAATTAGGATCTTTAATTCGAACTACCTACTCCATGCCGCATATAGCCACGGGCACGGAGTTCAGACTAAGGGGGATTTAAAAATGGTGGCGCCTGGGAACATGCAAATGAAGCCCGGGATATTTAAATCCCGGGCTTCATTTGCAACTCTGTTTGCCCTAATTACCCTAACTAGCTCGAACTAATGAGCTAGTGTAGACGTATCCTTATTTACCTCCGGGTTCTCTGCCCTGACCCAATCCCCCTCAGGCAGCAGGCTGGGAGCCCACCCCCTCCCAACTTGGGAAGAGTTCGGTCGCCCGGCAACCGTGCCCCAGCTGGCCCCTTGCACATCCGCTCCTGCGCCGGCGCTGGCATCACTCTCCCACCACCTTCCCTCCTGCTGCATCCGAGCCTTACTCTAGGAGACCCGTGGCCCTGGCCATGCTGCGCAGCTTGCCGGCGGCTGCCTTCTGCCGTCCTGTCTCTCTTCGTGGCTTGGGGGAGAGGGGTCGCAAGTGAAAAACCAAATCCAGCTGCGACCCCCCTCTAAGTTGCTTGTCACCCCCCTGAGGGTCATGACCCACAGTTTGAGAAATGCTGCGTTAATGAACTTAAAAGTATCTTCACCAAATAAGGACTCTCCAGAGAAGTAGATTGCACCATGAAAAGGGACACTGAAATACCCCCAGGAGAACCTGCTACAATACAGAAGTAGAACCTCTTCTGCCCACACATTGGAACTAGGGATGTAAGCAACTAGTTGACTACCCAATAAGCATAGGCTTATTGGGTAGGCGAGTCACTACTTAGCTTACTGCCTCTGTATCAGAGGCAGCAAGGGGTTGGAGCAGGAGCCAGTGCTGGGGGAAGCTGGCTTAAAAGCCGGTTCTCCCCAGCACCTTCTCTGCAGGGGAGAATTATTTCAAAATAAGGTGCTATTCTGAAATGTCCCTTATGCCTCATGCAATGAGGTTTACAGGAACATTGGAATAGTGAGCTTGTTATATTGAAATTATAAGACGCGGAATAGCTTAAGACGTGGAATAGCTATTTCGGGATACCGGAGATAGATGTAGTCTTCCAGAACAGCAAATGCAAAACCCAGACATATTTCCAACAATATAATGGTCAACACACACTGCAACATAACTTTCAATATCTATGGATCCCATGCACTCCTATCACCACTATGTGGGTGAAACCAGACAATTACTACAATCTCAAATCAACTCACACAGGAAAAGGATAAATGACAAAAATGTCCTATCACCTGTGGTCGCATGAACACTTTTGATAATGCAATCACATAATATCTGACCTATCAATCCTCCTGAGCAAAGGGAATCCACACAACACACACAAAATGCAAGCCTCGGAGCTTAAATTCATAACTCCACTAGACACTGAAAACCATGAACTTAACAGAGATACTGGATTTATGGTTTATTTACAATAATCTGTAGTCCACCCTTCTTTTTGTCCTATGATTGCAGAGATGTTAATGAGCCACTTTCCCTTGAATTTCCCTTTGAATATATGTGAATTACTTATGTTAAATAATCCATTCTACCTTGCATTTAGATGTGATGCTCGGAGTACCTGAAGAAGAGGTCTTTTTTGTGTCTCAAAAGCTTGTCTCTTGCACCAACAGAAGCTGGTCCAATTGAAGATATTGCCTCATCTACCTTATCTCTCTAATAAACTCCAGTCAACACAGGCTTAGATTTTCACAAGGCTCATACTTCAGTTTTTGGGTCTCCTCTTAAACATACCTTAAAGTGGCCAGATTTTCAAATTTTTCTGATAATTGAGCCCTTTTAAGGGGACTCAAGATGGATACCCAATAGCACTAGATACCTTTGAAAAGCGTGACCAAGCGTATTTTGTGTGGTGGTGGCAGTGTTCCGAAGGACAGCTCACCACTCCAGGAATTTATTATTTCTAGCTGGGAACAGAAATCCTGAACCCAATCCCAAGTAAGTAGACGGTGCTTCCCTATTGATGCTACTAGTATGTGGTGTTCTAGTAGCACTTAGCAGAGCCAACTTTGATTGGTGTTTCCAAACGTGACAGGCACAATAAAGAGACATAACAGGCGACTGTAAGCCCCTCAGGGCAGCGACTATCTAATCAGACATTTTGTTACCCCCTTGTATAACTGGAGAATTAATGGAAAGAGAAATTAGATTGCCTGTCTAAAGTTACACAGGAAGTCTGGGACCAGAGACCGAACCCTTACCTACTGAGTCTCAGTCTGGTGTCTTAGCCCCAACCTCCCTCTTTAATTTCCTATGATAAAAAGCTCTATAATCATTTACAATAAGTATGCCGACATAACCACAAAATATCTATTTGCCCTATTACTTAACCATAAACCCACAAAATATCTAATTCCCCATCACTTAACCATAAAACTATACATAATACATGAGACACAAACCCAACAGATAATACAAAGTATTCTGTACTGAATTTAGTAAACCACAGAGATGATTATAAACAGATGGTTAACATATAGTACCCCTTGCTATTCAGTAAGCTTGTACAGTCAGGCTGTGTTCTAAATCAAGGTTGAGAGCTGAAATGCTA